ATGGAGGCGAAGCTGAATTGCACGTATTCACATCGTGGTCTTGAGAAAATGATTCGACATAAGAACTTTCAATCGAAACTGAATCATATTAGATCATTATCCTCAATTGTTATCTTATTGATTTCGGAAGACCAGTGGAAAACTAAAAAATCGAAGCTATTTCTGAAAAATTATGCTATGTTAGACAGAATTCGATATTATAGAATATTAGAATTCAAATTATGAAAGAGTAGCTATGACAAAAAGCTCTTGGTGGCATAATGCCTACAAACTGTAGAGCTGATAAATCGTGAAAATAGTATATAGCTTTTATAGCCTATCTCCTACAAGCCATTGCAACAAAAGTTGTTCTCAAGCTTCTTTTTTTTCTAGCAGAATTTTGAGACTAGAACACTTGAGATTCAAATCACTTGAAGATAAAAGTGATTTTGGACGAACCACGTAATTTCACTAAGCCATGCAAAAGCATATATATATATATGTATGTATGTATGTATACATATATACATATGTATTTGGTCGCAGATAAGCCAAAGTTTTAATAGTCATCATACGTTTATTCAAGCAATAATTCGATTTACACGAAGCAGCAAGATAACCTGATTTTCAGCCGATTAACTACAGTGTTACTCGAGAATTACAGTGCATTTGGCTCGATAAAGAGCTAAATCTTTGAACACCTCACTTGATCTGTAACGAGACGGGTATCGTTCATTTAGGCTAGGAGGGCCGACGACTTCTTGTCCATGATGACCAGAGTATCGAGGTGATGGAGTCCTCGAGCGCTGCGATGGCAGCAGCTGTTCCGTCTTAACACGAAAATTTTGTTTCATAATCAAAAAATCACTTGAGGTTTTAAAAATTTTGACAGCCACAAGATGATGTCTTAGAGAATAACATGGAGAAAACTCATTTTCTAAGATCAACGTTGAATCAACCACGGCACTGGGCAATGAACTATAGTGTTCATGATGAGCTGACACGAGGTTTTTGATTTAACGACTACACTATAGCTGACATTCAGAGGGGTGCACCTCTCAAAGAAGTGATATAATTGTATCAAGGGTAGTTAATCAAAAAATTTATAGCTTGCGCAAAAAACGTATATCCTGATCCATTTGACAAAGAATTTCAAAGAATCGATCCCAACCTCTTTCACCTTTAAGAAATACGATCACCGGCGTCGAGTTTACTTGATACTATCATATGTCTATGGCGAAAATAATTGTCCTATGCGAGCTCTACGGTTGAAATGTCAAATGTCAAACCGTACCATAAGAATGAATGCCGGAAAAATGTGGAATGTTTTAAACGGATTTAAAAAACTCCAAATTGAAACTGGAAACGAATGTTTCGCAATTACACATGCCCTAAACCTATATATGATTTTTTTGCCGAAAACGGTCACGTTCATACCTCACGTCATTTCAGTGCAGAATGATCCGCTTACTGTGAAGCTAAGACAATGAGAAAAAATGATGGGGCGTTTATCAAGCCGTTTAGTAAGATTTTTTCGAAGAGCCTAATACCACATATATCACGCTGTGCGGATCCCAGCACTCTTCGGATGTGATCCGTTTCCTAATAACAACCACTCACAAAGGTCTTCGAAGTTTTAGTGTGGATTCGACTACTGTTTAGAGATTTTAGTCATCACGATGAATCGTTGACTATTGGCTGAATAAATTTATCCGCAACCCTAAGAGTTCTGTTAGGGCATTCCATCGTGTAATGGAGGGAATAAGCTAGTTCCAGAAGTCTGCTACTAAGTTGCCAACATGACATAATTGAATTGTTACTGGCGCCGCGTCGTAGTAAACCAGCGTATGCCTCGACTGGGACTTTCTCGCAGTGGTTGGCATTGTCAACAGTGTACTATTCCCCTTCTACAATACTACCAAACTTTAAAATTCGGATTTGTTAGGAGCCTTAGCCGAGTGGTTGTAGTGTACGTTTCGGCGCAGGGCTAATTCCCCATTCCCTCACTATTCTCCAGAAGTCAACGATACGCTCTATGGAACGCCACAGCCAGGCCATCCTCGAGATTGATGGAGACGCGCTCAGCCAGTAGTATACGACGCTCATCAAGAAGAAGAAGAACGAATTTGATACCAAAAGTACTGGGAATAGTGGAAAAAAAACTGTTAGGCGGATCAAATAAAGTGATAGAGCAAAGAAAAGTTTAGAAACAGTGCTTTTGATTAGAAAATAATGCATGTGAATATGGACGTCTTTACGCTCTGAAGTAAGTTATATCTTCTGCAACACTGGTGATTGTGGAAGATATATGTCATTCTTTATCGCTTCGTGTCAACCCATCAGAATAAGGCAGCTTGAAACGAGACACATTAGCAACATGTTTAGAGCTTTCTAAACACTTTAATTTTTAAGTAGAAAGCTAGATATTTTGGCTAAAATAACGGAACTGATTATAAGGTAGTACTAAGATATCCGATCAAATCCTGTCACCGAAATAAGCTGTTTACATTAACATATATGGAAGGAAGAAAGTTGATGGATTTGCAAATGACTCAATAGATCCAAGCTAGTTGATTGTATCAAGAAAATTCAAATTTCATGAAAGTAATTCCCAAGGCCGACTATCTGTCAATCTCGGCATTATTCAAAATTTCACAGTCGCTTGGTCATGGAGAAAAACTGTGGAATATTTTACGACAGTGATAGAATTTTAAAAAAACCGTATGTAATCATATGTTGTCTACTGAAAAAAACTTTCGGTTCATTTCCGTATGGTAGCGCAGACTTTCAAGTCCATCCCACAATAGAGAAGAAGTTTCATAAAGAGTGTTAGTAATCATTTGAAAGCTTAAATCTCAAGCTAGCGCTGTAGATGGCCGGCTTCTTGAAAACTCTTTTACAACGCTGAAAAATCAAAAATAAAACTAGGTTTCACAGTTGGTCGCGCAATTCAACTATTAGCTCGCTGGAGGCACGAAAAGCGCTTAAACGTGTAGAAAAAATTTTTTTCCAGTATCAGACTCAGACGTCTAATTCGGAGTTTCTCTCAAAACAAAGAAATAATTTCTGATCAAATACACCTCACTTAGGCGCCATCGATTGGTGTTCGTCCCCACCCGCCCTTTGTCATCCACCTCACCGCTCGTAAATTGCCAAGAACACTTGCTGGGATACGTGAATCGGTCTTGTTTTCCTTCCTGTGTTTCAGAAAAATGGTTATTTCAGATGATAAGCAGAGCGTTGGAATCGGTAAATTCTACGCTAACGAACGACTACTAATAGTCTAGAGAAAGAGCTCTGTAGTGCGTGAAATATGCACGTATGAAACATAATTTTATTCCTAATTTTCCAGCATTATAAAAGGTTCCTTCTGAAAAACCGGCTATTCATAGCAATAGCTTGAGAATTAGCTTTCGAATGGTTAACAAACTCTCTGCAAAAACTCTTGCCTAGCGTAGAAGATAGGCTTGAAAATCTGTGCTACCAAATGGAAAAGTACTAACTTTCTATATTACCATATATAGGACAGCTATCTTGGTCTTTTACCTAGTATTTTAATTCGGCTTCTTCAAATATTTACTGGCATTCCCTTAACGCGCGAATGTGCCTAATTTAATTACCACGACTCGTCGATATAGATAATTTTATTTTGGAAAGGATTCAAAAAATCAATGGAATGGTATCACACGTTTCATCTATAATTAACAGAATGGTTAGCAAAACTGAAAACTACAAGTGAAAAGTAAGCTCATGCATAGTCATTGAACAAACGTTTTTCTTCGAATCGCAAGGAAAAGCATGCTGAATGAGACACACGATGTGGTTCTAAGCGTACCTCGTCGTATTGTGACGACTTCTCACGATGGTAGTTGAAGCGTGGTACATACTGCTAGAAATGAAACCACATATGTCGATGTGCACAGGTACTTTGTTGCTTTAGTTATATTTCATTTGTCAGACAAGATTTGTCATCTCTGTTTCGTTTGATCTCACTTTCTTTTTCTCTTATCGTCTCCCTTCTTTTACTTCCTTTCACTCTAACACAAAATGTGTCAAACTAACTTAAAAACAGCCCCTGCACGATACGCTTGAAAAAAAAAGAAACCGACAGAAAGTGAAGCAAAGGTGAGCGCACACGTGCATGGCCGAAACGAAAAAATTGGGACACTAAATACCATATGTTAGAAACCGACCTGTGGAGGATCGTGTGCTACGGCATTAGCGCCACGACGTATACGAGAGAACATGTCCGAGATTCGTCGACCAGCTGTTGTAGGTTTTGATCTGAAAAAGGAATTTTTCCTTTGGGAACCACTGACACATAAGATGCCATTATTGCAAAGGTACACATAATTACGATTAATAAAACTGAGATTGACTCAAGATACTACTTGAAATTAAAGAGCAGTGTGAGCGCGATGACCGAGATATAATATCAAAGAACGATCGAAAAGATTCGTTCAACACACTAGACGATCCTTAACTCTTAGAATCGCGTTTTCATTTCACGGTACACGTTGTGTGAACTGAGAAAAATTCAAGTCGGCCTAGGTGCTTCCGTGCATTTGCCACACAGGTGCACATAGCGACAATCTATGTGCTAGTACGCCAGGAAAAGGAATTCGGAAGACGTAAGACTTATTTAAATTGAAGCAGTACTGAGACTTAATTCAGTACTCTTGCCATGAATGATATTTTTCACAGAAATCATTTTCCGTCACTTGACGAACGAACACGTTTTGAGAAAGTTTTCAAATAATATAATTGAGGACAAAGAAAGGTTTTATAGACTAGGCCTAAGTACATTTGTGTTTAACAAGTCACCAAATCATGCAAAGAACACGCCTAATATTAGATATTCACGCCGGAATTAAATGATACCAGCTTAAAAAGAAAATGAATTGCTTCACATATGCTCACATGGAAAAAGTATGAAAAAATTGGATTCCCTTTTAATCCCTTTCAACAGCGGTATGTTATTATAAATATAGTCAATGATATGGAGTGATGTGCAAAACTTCTGCTTCAGATGGGACTCGAACCCACATTTCATTCTATTCAGGGGTTCGCGCTAGAACCATTGCACTATCGATGCCTGTTGTGACACCAAGTGTTGCGCATCATTCTACATCAGTTGGTAAAAAAAGGTTGGAGATTACAAATAACGAAGATGCATAAAAGAAGATAAGTTGGTGAATGAGTACGAACTAAAAATATTAGGTTCGTATGAGGCATCATTGTGAGGATAAAAAATGAAAACTAGGTTTCGAAAAACTGGGTCAAAATGATGTCTTCAACCATGTATATGGTTTGATCCTAAAGCTTTTTCATTCAAAAAATTGTGGAGAATATTGCATCATCAGCAAGATTTCAATTTCGCAAGTGAAAGCTGCATCGTACTCCGATCAGTCAACTCAAATCTTTTTTGGTAAATAGGTTACAAGATTGACTGGCACAGCTATTACCAAAGAAGTTCTACTTACGCATGTTGTGACGAATACATTAATGGCGTCTCTTGTTCATCTTCGATAGCTTTATTTAACTTTGCTGAATCCACCAGAGGTGTGAAGAAAGTATGAGGGCGCTAAAATAAAGAAGTGAAATTACCGGAACAATTAAGCCGAGAACAAAAAACAGCGCTAGCGTGACAGTCACAGTGAAAATTGGGTTCTCTTCTGTTATACGGCGTCAAATGAAGGAACCACTCCTTTCGCTGGATAAGAACTCTTCATAAAAATGTTAGTAGTCATTCGAAAGCTCAGATCTCTAGCGACTGTGCTAGATGGTCACTTTTTAGAGAAAAAAAGGTTCTTATAACGCTGTAGCAAGAAGACAATTTATGTTTTACACAGGCATATTCTTCGCAAAACAGCACTGTTCCCTAGAATTGCGAGTAAGCATTAGATAGCGTAAGATTCGGCAATTCGAACAACATGTTTACTTACTGAAAAGACCGTTTCACTGGAGTGTGGCAATGAAAATAAAATCTAGCCCCACATACGCGACACATTTGTTTGTTGAAGGGTGTGTGCGCCGAGGAAGAGCTGGCTGTGTATTCCATGCGGCCATCGATCGATCGTGGTGGCGTGAATCACATGTGGAGTACGATTTTTGTTTGTGATTTCTTCTTTACTTCAAAAAATACTTCAGATAAAACGCGTGACCTTGACTTTACAAGACTTCCTCTATACGTTGATAATTTTATTCTGAATGCTACAGATCTATAAAAGGGTCTTTTCAAAAAGCAGAAAGTAGCATAGTAGCCGCAATTTTGAACTTTCCAGTTATTACTAAAGTTCAATAGAGAATCTGTTTACCGAAAGGAGTTGTTTCTTCATATGTCGCCGTCTAATAAAAAGGAACCGAAAACTGGAATATTCCCACGGGGAATATAGCTATACTTACACAAAAATTAGAGTTTTAGCAGAAAAAAAAAACATAAGGAGGTTGTCAAGCCTAGAGGATCATGGAAATATCGTACCGGTGTTGCCACTTTGTCCTCATGCTGTGTGTGATTCGGAATCAGCTGGATACTCTCTTCTATCTGGGGTGTGCTCATGTGATTTACGCCGCCCGCCGCTTTTGCAGCTGCCACGAGGCCACGAAGGCCACCACCAAACAAGCCTCCGCCAATCTGTAATAGCAGAGAATAATTTCATGTAAGAACGTCTCTTCATATGTTTTCATGACCAAAAAAAAAAAGGTGAGGAAACGGGATTGGGGGAGGGGGTAAGGGAAAAAGGGAGAAGGAAGTTGGCTGCATTCGGAGTTGGTGAGGCAGGCATAGGAAGGGGCAAGAAAAGAAAAAATAGAATGAAAGTAATGCGTGAATCTCTATTAAGTTTCCATAGATCGCATATTTATTCATTGTTTATATGTCTTGTGAAAAACTCGGTTCCTTTTCGTCTTTGAATCAACTTGGAACGCTGTCACTGTGAAAAACAGCAAGGAAACTGAATGATTCAGTCCATTGTTACAGCAGCAACCTGTTGTTGCTTATCGGTATGTTGCTGTTGATGTTGTGGCCGTTGTAGATGTTCGTTTTGTTCGGCACTCTCAGATGAATCTGCCCATTCGAACATGGCGTTGCGCCGTCGGAGTAGGATTAGAGCTGTGCGCTCACGTTTACGTAATTCCAGCTAAACTTTAGTGAATCTCTTTTCAATTTTTTCTTTAGCAAACGTGTAAACGTTATACCACAACCGTGCTTCAAAAGCATTTCATGCTTAAAGTTCGGTGTGGTTTCGACCACCTATTGGCTACTAGTGCCAATGGATGACCAATGAATGTTATCGGAATGATTTTAACGATCAAAAGTATGCTCTTGAAGCTTTGCCAGTGACGATAACTCAAGAGTCGAATTTTTTATTAATCACGACACTTCAATTTCACTCGATCATCACTTTTTCATTCAGGAACAATTCCTGTATCTTTTACAAAAAAAGCAGTTAATTTAAAACATCTTCATCAAATGCTCCAACCTCGGTTCCACTTTTCTTCGCTCGATAATTTTCGAGAATTAAGAGACCCGCGTAGATTTTCCCTACAGTCAATTTTTGGAAGCAGAGCTCTGAAAAAAGATATTTTCAATTGGACTGTAGGTTTTATTAGACTCAGAGTGCTAAGAATAGTGACAGAGAATGTAACTTCACTATCACATTGAAAGTGTAAACATTATTAAATGAGGTTGAAATCTAGCGAGCCAAAAATTTCTTCGCCTCAATTAATTTTACAGCGTAAAATGTGCAGTTATAGGACGATTGTAAGGTTAAAATATTCCTCATATTTCATTTCAGCATGAATGACAGTTTTGGTAACACAATTTGAGAATATTTAAATTCACCAGTAAAATGTGACTATAGAAGGAACGGAAAAGGAAAATGTTTACTTGATTTCTCACATAAGGGAAAACCTCTGGAGAACATTGAAGAAATTTAACAGAGCAATACGTCATGGAAAGATACCATGGTTTGGAGGCACTACTAGATCAATCATGTTCTTCTTCGCTTTGAGAGGCCAAATCTTTTTCAGTGTTTGTCTAAGCTCCTCATCTGCTTCATCCATCTCCTCAACTAAAAAAAAAAGAACGTATTTGTTTGCTAGAAAGAAAAGGCATTATAATTATACTGGTAAAATAAAGTTTTTCGATAGGTGAAGGGTAAGTTGAAAATGTAATAATCCACGATTTGTGCTTAACGTTTTCTGACGTGGTGCATGGATTAACAATGTAACAGTGCCTCGAAAGAAGCGTTATGGGTCCATTTGTATCTTAGTCAAGTTTGATGTAGTTACCTAGTACTCTAAGCAGAAGATATAAATTCACAAACAGGTTCAGGTTACCCATGTGGGATTGCGCCAGTTCACCCTGGATAAATAAGTTTATACGTATTTATATTTATATATATTTATATATTTATTATTTACATATTTATATAAATAATATATATATATATATATATATATATATATATATTATCAGGCATATTGAAAACTTAGTACGGTCTTGAGAAAACACTCGAAACTAATGATATGATATTTCATGATCGCCAGCCAAAAGCAATCAAATGTACAACACTGACAATTTGGTGATCTGCATCACTTAACGGCGCTTGTAAATGTTACGTCTGCGGTTTCTTTATGTAAGAGAGTTCGCTCCCAAGAGGGACTGGCTCAGACGAAAGGCACCGTGCATCTGACGAGGCTGCAAGGTCGAAACACGTGTATTACACTATGGGAGTGCCCATAACAGACCACATGAATGACTCAAAAAAATTATCAGGCATACAAATATATTAGGCTGTTCCACAATTTGTTCCGTACTACTATTTTATTCAGTTTTTTCTCAGTTTCAAACCGGGTTTATCGCCAGAAGGCTAGCTGAGAATGTATTAGTAACTTTAGCTAAACAATTGGATACGGCAGTAGCATCATTGCTCGCCATCTAAATGAACAGGGGCAAGCGAAAAGTGATGCCTCGATGAGCCTCATGCATTAACTACGACCACCGCTGCTCGCGCGACCATCTGAGAAAGTCTTCCGCTGCGAATGCACAGGCATAACTTTCTCAAGTTATCATCACTGGAGATAAATCCTGAGTCTACTACGAGAACAACACGCACCACGCCTATTGGCTGCCTCGTGGTAAAGACTCGTCAGCCCAACCAGAGCCAACATCCCATGTTCAGAAGATCATGCTACCGGTTTCCTTGGATTGACAGGGCATGCTGTTCTTGGAAATGCTCTGCAACAAATAGACAATTAATGTTGACGTCTACGGGAAAGAATTTCGAAAGTTGGCGGCACAGTGCGAGAGAAGCGTCTGGAAATGACTCAGCGTCGCTCTTCTCCAGGATAGTGCTCCACCCGGGATATTGCAAAGTCGACTTGCCACATTTTGGAGAAGCTGGGCTGGACAACATTAGCACATCCACTGTTTAGTCCTAATGGCAATTCATCGTATTATAATGTCTTCAGTACTTGAAGCAGCATGTGCAAGGGTACAACTTAGAGACCACAACTAGCTCAAATGTGACCTCATCGCCTTCTTCAATCTGATTCTTTCTGCGAGGCAGAACCCAATCTTTAACCAGCAAATAGTTGCATATTATTGACCATGATGATGATTATATCGCCGAAAATTTTTTTTAAGATATATAAATCAAATTAACATTAGTGTTAATGCGAAGAACATTATGAGACAACCCAGTAATATAGATGAATTTGATGTAATAATTTATATAGTATAAATATATACAATAAATATGTATATATAAATATATAATACACAAAATATATTTAGGATGTAAAGCAACGGCAGACAGAAGAAAATCATACCAGGTCGCATTTTTATGCTTAGACTTTCGCGAATGAGGGCGAATAGTGTTGTGGTGAAGTGTACTGTGCCATCGTCAGCCACTGGCATGTTCATACGGACAAGATGTTTGTACGCAAGTCGATAGGGACACTTCCGACCGAATCCGACCGGTGGGGTGATGTTTCGTAGCATATCATACATATCCGTGTAGTGAATACGCCCTCTAAACCTGTCACTTTTGCTTCAATTATGGAGATAAGTAAGCGACATAGATTTATAAT